CGCTGGGAAACAGAAAAGTGATAGAAATTGGGATTTTTTTTTCATATAAAAGATAAGAATTAAAGTCATAAGACTGTTAATGCAGAGGATCTACCAGCAGGTCAAAGAATATCCATAGTGTACAGAAAGAGCAGTGGACAAGGAGTAATTATTAGTCACAAGTTCAACTTCAAGCTGTGTGACCTTGGACACCTCAATTAACCTTTCTGAGTTAGTTTTCTCATGTCTACAATAAAGAGGATAACATCTACCTCAAAGTATCTTTTTAAGATTAAATAAATGTACACCGTCATTACATGTGCACAGCATCTTTGTAAGATTAAGCAAGTGTACACAGTTAATCATGTTCATAATGTGATAGGGTCTTACATGCTGCCATCTGGCCTGAGTTGGCAATGTTCTTTGGAAAGGCATTGGTCCTGGTCTAAAAATTCATCCATTGAATGGAAGGGGTAGAGAAACTAGAAGATTGAGGCTCCCTCCACGACACCAGAGTGTAGTGCTCAGGTTTCTGTAGTCTCAGACCACCTCCACCACACCAGATGGGGAGGTGTTCCCACCTCTTTCTTGCCTACCCTCCATTGTCAATGAAAAGGTGGCCACTTCCCATAGCAGCCTACATTTGCTCATTCTGTATCTCAGGAGATCCCTTGTAGATTTTTCCAGTGTGAGCAAATCTGGCATGCTGTGTCCAACACTGAAGGGGCTGTTAGGCGGAGGAGAGAGGAAGACCTCCAAATCATCTGATACAGTTCCAGATGCCAGGGCCAGGACTGCTGGGGTGGCCTTTGGAAAGTTCCAGTTCCACACGTGGAATACGTTTGTAACAGCAACTGCTGGCCAGCTATGGGTAAGCTTCTGAAACAGGGTAAGCTCCTCACCGAGAAAACCCAAGCAGAACTTTTCACCCCTGATTCTCAATAGGCTCTCCTAACATCAAGTTATTTTATCCAATGCTTACCAAGTGCTTCCTGTGTGCTAGGCACTAGGAGTATAAGAGTAAGTGGGAAGCCACTCAAGGGCTCAAGTTGGGGAGACAGATAGATCTGTAGATAATTACAATACAACATGGTAAGTACAAAGAGAGAAATTATAGGAGCATGGAAGGGGTGGACTTAACTCAGGAGGAGAATTCTCTGGAGGAAGGGAAACCTTGGTATAGTATGACAGGACTCAGGAGAGTCTTACAGTCTGGGGAGGAAGGAAGGCCCAGATGGGGGAAGTGTAGAAAGGGCAAGTACAGGGCCGGCACTGTGGTGTAGCAGATAAAGCATCCCATATGCACGCCAGCTCAAATGCTGGCTGCTCCATTTCTGATCCAGCTCCCTGCTAATGCACCTGGGAAAGCAGTGGAAGATGGTCTAAGTTCTTGGGACCCTGCACCCATGTGGGAGACCTGGAAGAAGCTGCTGGCTCCAGAATGGCCCATTCAAGAAAAAAAGAAAAAAGAAAGAAAGGGAGAAGGAGAGAGAGAGAGAAACAGGTACAGCAGAGTTCCCTCAACATGAGCAAAGAAACATAAACTACAGTCCATGAGCGCAACTCCAGGCAGCTGGAGAATAAAACATGAAGGGGCAAGGTGGACATTTGGCCAGGCAGTTGAGATTCCACTTAGGATGCCCACATCCAACACTGGAGTATCTGGGTATGATATCCAGCTTCACTCCGGACTCAGCCTTCCTGCTAATGCAGACCCTGGGAGGCAGCAGGTGATGGCTCAAGTAGCTGGATCCCTGTCACCCATGTGGGAGACCTGGGCTGATCTCCTGGCCCCCAGTTTCACCCCCAGCTTTGGGCCAATATGGGCATTTTGGGAATGACTTTGCAGATAGGATCTCTGTCTGTCTGTCTTTCTCCATGTGTGTGTGTCCCTCTACCTCTCAAATAATTTTTTTAAGTGTCAGAGTGGGGCAAGGTGAGAAACAAGGCTGGAGGTGGAGACAGACACCAGGTCCTGAAAAGCCTTATAAACTGCATTCTGCCATTTGAACTTGGTCCTGTAAGCAATGGCCAGTTGACACCTTAAAGGTTCTAAGTACTAGAGTGACTAAGTTTCTGTGATCTTAGAATTAGATGCCTTTTTCAAAAGAGAACTGTAGGATGGCTTCCACCCTGCCAGGCTGGGCTTCGGAATCCCAGTGTCGGTGCAGCCTGCCTGACTCATTGTTGGTGCGCCTTTGTTCACCTGCCCTTCCTCCTCTGTCTGCCCCGCCTCTTGGTAATGCTGACTTTATAAAAAGGTGATGTGGGCACAAAGCGACTCAGCATTCCAAACTGTTTGGAAGCAGCCAGAAGTAAGCACTGAGCCCCGAGCATCCTTCTGTAGTGGGGCTCCTGGCTGTGAGGCAGGCTTCTGGAAGCAGATGGGAGGAGGGGTCAGGGTTGCTGCAGTGCACCTCCCACCTCATCATCCCTGGCTCCCTGCGACTCGGGGCGGGGCGGGAGCCCATCTAGCTCCCAGGGAAAGCATCCTGCAGGGCTCAGCATCAGCGGCCACTCTGGCTTCTCCAGCAAGGTGGAGGGGAGACTCCGGACTCCTGTACTTGCCAAAACTGCTATACTTCTCTGCCCAGGAACCATCTGGAACAACTCCCCTCCTCCTCCTGATCCATTTTTCATTATTCTGTCCAGGGTCTCCACTGCTTGGTGACTTGGTTCTTCTCCACTTCTCTCCGCCAAGTAGTGTTCCTTGATGACCCCTTCAAAAACTGAATGAATGGCTCTGCCTCCCTGAGCCTCCCCTACTCGCCCCTCCCTTCCATTACCACCCTGTGTCCGGAACACTTAATAGGCTACAATCTGCTCACCTGTCCCAACCACACCCCACACACTCATCCCTGAATCACTCATGCATTTCTCACTGGTGATGTTCCCTCTGCTTGAAATTCCCTCCTTTTGTCTCCTTTCTGAACTCTGCCTTATCCTTCCAGGCACAGCAAAAATATCATCTTGACCAGAAGATTTCCCCCATCACTTCCAATACAAAGGAAATCTAATAAGACTTTGTGTACCTTTATTAAAGTACGGTTTTTTGCTTGTCACGACAGCTTGCACTTGTGCGTTGGCTGCCTCTCTGAGAATTTCATAACATTAACACTTTTAATTCGAACAACCATCCCACGCTGTTGTTGTCTCTAGGCTAACCTGCCCTAGTGTACAGAGTTAGTGGAGGATCTGGGATCTGAACCCACACAGCACAACTCTAACCAGGTGCTATGGCACCTCTCTACTTGCAAGCTAGGAAGCTCCGGGGATGTGCAGTTATGCTCAGTTTTCTAAATATTTGGCATACAGCAGGTAATTACTAAATGTGCTCTGAATCTAACTGAAATCTGCAGTCTTGTGACTTCTTCACACTTCTATCCTGTCTCCTTGAGCAGTCCTGTGAGGTTCTCAAGGAGAAAGGATCAGGCCACCCACTTTCTTCACAGGCCCACAATCACAGGGCATACCCCAAGGAGCTGGGTTGCACTGCAAGGGGAAGAATAATTTTAGATTAAAATGTGTCTGGGGGCCTGCACTGTGGCATAGTAGGCTAAGCCTCCAACTGTGGTGCTGGCATCCCATGTGGGTGCCGGTTCGGGTCCTGACTGCTCCTCTTCCAATCCAGCTTCTTGCTATGGCCTGGGAAAGCAGTGGAAGATGGCCCAAGTCCTTGGGCCCCTGCACCCACATGAGAGATCTGGAAGAAGCTCCTGGCTCCTGACTTTCAATAGACCCAGCTCCGGCCCTTGTGGCCATCTGGGGAGTGAACCAGCAGATGGAAGACCTCTCTCTCTGTCTCTCCCTCTCTCTGTGACTCTGCCTCTCAAATAAATAAATAAGTCTTTAAAAAAAACTATCTGAAGTATGCATAAGTTACAGTCTGCTTTGCATGCCAGATCTCACTGCCTCTGATGTCGACAGGCAGGGCACATGAAGGGTGCGGAGAGGGCAAGGCAATCAGGTGAGGATTGTTGGAGATCCAGCTAAGATCTCAGAGCTCGAAATATCTGAATGGGCTCATAGCTGGCAGCTCTGGAGGCAGCACCTTGAAGGCCAGTGTGGTGTGGTCTTGGGCAGCTGTGGCCATGAGGAATGAGGGCAGGGAGAGAGACTGGCCAGAGGCTGAAGGGGGCCTAGCTGGGGGTGTTGCAGAGAAGAGGCCAGCTGGGCAGAGGTGAGCCAGGGGGTGTTAAGAGTAGGCTAGCAGGTTCAGCAGGGCAGCCTCTCCAAGTGTTTGGTCACCAGCACCAGACGGGACAGAACACCAGGAGAGGTGACAGGCTTGGCAAGTGATCTGATAGTACAGATATTGATATGAAACATCAGGAAAAACTGGTTTGGTCTTCCCATCAGCGGAAGGTACTCAATGTTTCCCTACCACTTTTCCCACTACATTCCCCCAAACCTGTGCCTTTATTTTGCTGTTCTAGCTCAACACAGCTTCACATCTAATAGAGGGAAGGATTGCCCTTGCTAGGCTGGGCTCCGCAGAAGGGGAGCGTTCCCTAGGAGAAAGGACAGCGACTTTCTAGCCAAAAGACCTGCCCCACCTACCAGCAGGGTGGGCTTCTGCGAGGCTCTTCGCCCCACCCACCCGCACTCCCTCTTCTGCACAGTGGGCATAAGAACGCCCACCCGCCTACACCCCCCCCCCCCCGAATGCGGCAAGTGACGCCTGCCCAGGCCTCTGGGCGCCCAGCCTGGGCTTCCTGCGGATCAGAACGCTCTCCTGGGTCTATCTCAAGCTCCTCACTACTCAGGAAACGAGTGAGACACTGCAGATGTCCGCGCCCAAATGGAGGGAGAACGCCTCCCACGGGGCACCTCCCGCCCCAGTCGCTTCACCGAAAGCTCGCAGGTCGCCAAGCTCTTCCTGCAGCTTCGGCATGGGGGAGGCAGGCTGGAACTCCCGGGGCGCGGCGGGGTGCCTCCTCAGGCCCCCTAGGGCGTGGAAGCTGCTTTTCCCGGAGTGCCCCCTTGGAGGCGCGGCCAGGCTCGGGGGCCACCTCGCTTACCTGCGGCTCCACCAGCCAGCGCGGCTCGGCGCTGCCCTGCGCGGGGCGCGCGGCGCGGAACGCCGAGTACACGGGGATGCGGTCGCGGGTGCTGTACAGGGTGGCGAAGCGCTCGGCGCCCTCCGCGCGCTGACAGATCTTCACGTGGGACTCGGCCGACAGCCCCGCGGGCGGGGTCGCGGCGTAGAAGAACTTGTCACATTCGCCAAAGCCACCTTCGTCCTCGCCCACGAGCCGGCCTTCCAGCAGCCGGGCCAGGGCGAGGAGGCTACCCAGAGCCAGCCAGCGCGCGGGGCCCATGGCGGCCTCTGCGAGCGCGGCGGGACGGCCGCGGCGCGGGCTCTGCGGGCTGGGCGGGGAGCGCGCGATGCCGCCCGGCTCGGCCTGAGGGGAAGTCGGAACCCAGGCGCGGCGCTCGGCCAGCCGGGCGGGGCGGCCCTGGCGGCGGGGGCGGTCCGCGCACGGAGGCCGCGCCCCTGCCGCCCTTCCTCCCTCGCTGAAGATGGCAGCAGAGGCCAGGGACCAGCGCCCCGGGGTGCGGCCGCAGCGCCTGGAGGCGCGGGACACCTGCCGCCGCGCCCCTGCTCTCTGCAGCAGCGAGCGCGTCCCCGGCAGGAGCGGCGGCTTGGAGCCTGACCGAGCGAGTCCGAGGGGCTGGGAGGGGACGGTCCTCGGGGCTGGGCGCCAAGAAACCCCCTGGTCTAGCGCGCCGCAGGGGCCCTCGGGGATGCAGAGGGGCCGCGTGAGGGGTTCGCGGAGCTGTGCGGACTTCGAAGCTAAAGAGCAGCGGTCCCTCCTGAAAGCTGATGAAGCTCAATCTCTCCTCCCCACCGAACTGCTCGGCCGCCGCCGTCTCCGTAGACAACCCTGATGTTTGGTTTGCTTGTTTGTTTTAAGCTACTCAGAAGCCCTGACATCCCAGCTAGGATCCCGTTAGCGGAAGTTCCAAACCTAGGCCGACCGTCCCAGCCCTGCCGTGATTGGCTAGGTGCAAGGATGAGAAGCCAAACTGACATCCAGAAAGGGAGACCACCACCAAGGATTGAGAGGCTAGGGGATTCCGTCCTCACTGCTCTCCGTGAATGCTCACGTGCCACCCTGGGCTCCGTGCTGGCTTACGACAGGGACCAACAAGAACAGGTCCTCCGGGTCAGGAAGACAGCACCCCACTCGACGGGCTTGTCGTGAACCCAAGAAGCACGCGATTACAGGACTAATTACAAACTGCCCACGCCGCTGTGAGAATTCGGCGCCTGTGGGGCTTGGAATACAGTATGGGAAGGTTTGCCTCAAGCAGTAGCATTTGAGCTGAGACCTGGAGGATCATTACATAACAGAGAGGAACTGAACTGTGCTATGGGATTCCCCTGGCAGAAAGGAAGGTGATGTGTTGGAGGAATTCAGGAAGACTTCTGGTGGGGATCCGCAGCAGGTAACTGGGGGAAGATTATGGGAAATGGGGCTAAAGAAGGAGGCAGGGCTCCTATCCTCCAGGGAATCATAGGCCAGAGGCCTTCAAATATTGCTTGACAAGACCCACAGTGAGAAAACCAGTTTCGTGGAATAATACCCAGGCGTACAATTGGCTTCGCCATCTCTCATTTCTGTTCTAGTCTACTTTATTCCATCATAGGTAATATGGAGGATTTGGACCTTACAACAGTGGTGACACAATCATATTTGCTTTCTGGACAGAATCTGGTGCATAGGACCAGTCCAGAATGAAAGAAGGAAAGACATGAAAAAGCAATAACCCCTAGTGAGAGATGGTGACTTGGACAGTATGGCAGAAGAGACAGAGACAGGGCACCCACTAAGGGCTTCTCACATAATCCTGTTTCCCAGTGTTCCGCTTGGGGCACTGAGGTCCAGAGCGTGTTGATGCTTGCCTGCCATGGCACAGCAGGCAAGTCCTGAGCCAGACTTGAAGCAGATCGCTCTAATTCCCAGGCCTGGCCTTTCCTCCAAGTCAGAGCAAAGCTGTGAGGTGAGCCTATAAAGTAGGAGGCTAATTTTCAAGAGAACTGACTTTGGGACTTTTATTCCCTGCGGGTTTCAATGCCTGAAAAGGTTGACAAGGTTTGAGCTCTAAAATGAAGACTAACTTTGTATCTTAAAGGAAAACCCACACACAGAGTTAGTGTGATGTCCCAGAAGAGGCTAGATTGATCTAGGGTGATAACTCTTGTCATCTGGAGGCAGTAACTCATTCCTCTCAGATCTCATGGCTTGAGGCCCCTCTTGGATATTGGGAGGATTATAGGTTTTATAATATTGTTAAATACTGATACTATTCTCTAGAATTGATGACAGGTGTCCCCCAGTGGGATTCATGATGCCAACCATAAAAATCCATATAAACACAGTTGAATAACGAGGGGTCACCCCCTGTCTTTTCTGTGCCTTTTGCACATGCATCTATTGTGACGCTTCCCGTATTCAGGTATTAATGATTCCTGCATCCGCCCTTTCTGCTAGAAGGTATACTCCCAGGGCCGGGTAGTGGCTCCTTACTCTCTGGATCCCAATGGCTTCCAAAATCAGGAGTGATTAATGTCAGATATGATAATTATGTTGTATTTTAACAAGTGCAGAAAATACAACACAATAAATCACTGGGCTTTATGACTAAGGCATAGGACTTTAATTCACTCTTGCCTTCTGTCCCACCTTTGATAAAAATAAAACCTTTATACCCACTCTTCTACCCTCTGGGCAGATTTCCTGCCATGGTGACTGACACACACACATACACAGAACCTTTGCACATCTCGAAGTGAGGACAATTTTATCTGTGTTATTTCCTTTATAATACAAGGCAACAGAGGTTCTTTTCATGTGTTTGTCTTCCAAATATAAAATTATATTATTTGTACAATATATATATTATATTATATTTGCTTTTGCAAATTATAAATGTCCTCACCACAAGATTCTGAAGCAACAGGGTGGGACTGCCTTTATTTAATTAAAATGTTGGCTAACTGCTCATTCCAGGGGAAGACTGTCTTGAGAAGTGTCTTTATGTGTGTGTCCATTTGGCCACATCTAGTCCCCTTTACTTTTCTATAGACTTTTTCTTCACAGAGGAGCAAGTTTCAAACTAGATACTCATAGGTTTCTACACTCACACATAGTCAATTCTAACATCTGTCAGTAGCCTTCAGTGGTGGCCTGAAGAGGAGCAATTGTGTTTGATGGGGAGTGAAATGATAGTTGATTGGCTCTTTGTAGTTTGGTGGTTCTCTCCCAAGCTGTTTACACATGAGCCCCATAGATATTTCTTCCCCTTGCCCTCGTGCTCTGGTGACAGTTGCATCCCCACGGTCACATCAAGTCATGCTCATCTTTCATACTCACCTGTTACCCTGTCATCTCTGACTCTACTCCCCAGCTGAGCTGCCTTCCTGATATAAATCTGATGATATTATCCTACTCCTACAACCTCTTCTCATGCTCCCTTCTGGCTGAATCCATGCTCTCAAGCCTCTCCTCTTGCCATTCTCACCGTGTCTCTGTGCCCTACACGGAATTCAACTTACTGCAGTTCCAAGACTGTGAAAGTGCAATGCTCTCTCCTGTCACTCAGCCTTTTTAGCATAAGTGTTTTCCCTTGTCCTGGAATTCTCACCACCCTTTGCATCCTTCACCTTTCATGTAATCTTTTTTTTTCCTGCAATCCTACTACTGTCGAGTCACCCACTTTCCTGCACGCATGCCTTCACCCATCACCCCCTTCTGCGGTTCAGAGCCTTCTTTCACTTGTACTTATTAAAGTCAGTTTTTCCCTTGTTTCATAATTGTTACCTTCCCCATTCGACAAACACATGGTGCTCCTATAAATATCCAGTATAGTGAGTGACTGAATAAATGAATGAAAAAGTTCCTCGTTTTTGAAGCTTTATTTTAGTTCTCATTGCTCTAATTCATTCACTCATTCTCGGGATGTTTTTAGAATATCTACCATGAGCCTGAAATTTTGCTAGATGCTGGGTATTCAGGGGAAGAGACATTTAACCTGGTTCCTGCCAACATGGCACTCATGCCAGCATCTCTGTGCCATGTGAGTAACCGGAAGAGCAGAGAGAAGTTAACTGATCTTCTGTAGGCTACTCTGTCTCAGACCAAAGAAAGGCAATGCAGGGGAATCTTTGCGCAGCCAAGTTCTGTACCATTAACCCAAGCTGTATCCAACTCTAGTCTAGCACAAGACTGACACAGTCTTTGCACCACAGCACTTGAAGTCTAGTATGGAAGACAGACAGACATGGAATTACAATTCAGCATGAGAAATGCTCTGTTACAGAAAGTGCCAGGTGTTACGGATCCCTGGGCTATTCTGAGATGGAGCAGCTCTGCAAAGACAAAGGGAATATGGAAAATCAGACTTCATCATGAGAGGTGTTGAAACATGGCTTGTGTACTACAGCAATCATGAAATTCTAGACCCCTGAAGCTATGTCTTTGGCTCTCCTCTCCAAAGATGTTCTAGTACTTACAAGAAATCAAATAATGAGGAAGCTGATATAATATGACCTATTAGGAGAAGTGAGGAAGCTGAGGGGTAGCTCCTATGTGAGTTAGAATGCCTGATTTATTTTCCTATGAATGATTAAATGTAAGAGAGGCTGCCTGGCTCAGCCTACAGGTGGGTAACAGAAAGCAGTCTACTGCGTCACGAGGGTTGTTGAGGCATTAGCCATGGGAGGTTGAGTCATGTTTACCCGAAATCCTGCAGAGCTGTCTTCTTTCTAGCAAAGCTAAACTTCTGATAATGCTTAAAAGTAGTATTGATTGCTGTTTAATGAGTATGGAGATTTCCTAGATGAAAAATTACTTGAGATTTGTTTTGAAACAATGGGACTATATTTTAAAAATGGTTCAGGGCCGGCGCCGTGGCTCAATTGGTTAATCCTCCGCCTACAGCACCGGCATCCCATATGGGCACGGGGTCCTAGTCCGGATAGCTCCTCCTCTAGTCCAGCTCTCTGCTGTGGCCCGGGAGGTCAGTGGAGGATGACCCAAGTGCTTGTGCCCCTGCATGTGCATGGGAGACCAAGAGGAAGCACCTGGCTCCTGGCTTCGGATCGGAGCAGCTCCAGCAGTAGCGGCCATTTACGGGGTGAACCAACGGAAAGGAAGACCTTTCTCTCTCTCTTTTTCTCTGTCTAACTCTATCTGTCAAAAAAAAAAAATGGTTTAAAAAATGGCACTCTAGTAATGTGGCCAGGAAATGAGCAGAGGATGTTATGAAAAGCCTGAAGGGAGTTCTTGGCTCCTGGCTTCAGCCTGGTCTAGCCTCCACTATTGTAGCCATTTGAGGACTAAACCAGAGGTTAGAAGATTCCTTTCTCTGTCTTTCTCCCTCTCTGTCACTCCACCTTTCAAATAGATAATAAATTTTAATAAATGATTGAGACGAT